TAGCATAATTATCCATAAGTGCAGTGTTACAACTACACCTCTGACGTTTATAACAAACCAAACCGTTTGAAAATCCGTAGAAAATTGAGCAAGTTATGGTTATTTAAAAAGTACATGCACCACTACAACACAATGTTATGGGTGAGCGAGCTGACTGTACCAAGATGGCCGCCAGTGTGGCCGTGCGATTCCATTGGCCGACAGCGCGGACGAGATATCTAGCCTTCATTATACATATCTTTGTGTGTTCTTACCATCAACTTGTTTCACCACCGCAAAAGTGTAACCAAACTTCTTCCAATGTTTAGTCTCAGTTTCAAATCTACACATGAATCCCAGTTGAACTCTGCCTCCTTGGACGTGTGTTTCTGTCGCATACAGTCAATTTGTTCACGTCCTACTCGGTTTGTCACATAATACTATACATATAGGACACTTCTGACTGATAAAGGATGCTTCTGATGCTTAATAATGCATCATAATCTGTTTTTAATCTGGCATTTTTTCCTCTTTTTCCCTCTATAGCTCAAAAGGTACAAGTGATCATGGCTATTAGCAAAGAACAATAGCAAGAAATTAACACCGTTTCAAAAATAAACAGGAATTGTAAAGGTGGATTAGTGAGGATTCTGCAAAATGTTCGTGCTGCGCTGGATTTTAAACAGAAATCGATTACGTGGCTTCTTCTCACCCGGAGACCTGATGCGGAGCCAGAATCTGTCCGGTCCAACCTGTGTTTACTGAATTAGATCAAAAGGTTTTGCACAGTCTTTGTGACTCAAGCAGGCTTGAGAGGTAAGAGATGCAAGATACATTTGATTTGCTGTGACAGCGCAAAGGGCGATTCATTGATGATGTTCTTGAAGTGCGAGAGCCTACAGAAACAGGCTACATCACATGTCCTCAGTTTGTGTCCAACAACATCAAAGCCTTTCCTCCTCTCAGGGATGCCTCCATTGTGAATTAATTCGGCGACAGGGGAAAAAAGGGAAAGGTTCTTGCACAAGAAAATATCCTGAAGCAAGCAAGGAAAAGTTACTGGAAAGAGTGTCAGACTGTGCAGCAAAGGACAGATTCCATTGATTATCGGATTTTTTGCTTGCAACCCAAGTTTTCTTCAGCTTCAGATGGAATCGAGAAGCTTTGAAGACGAAAAAGTTACGATGACAAGACTTTTGATGTTGTTTATCGTTAGCAAAACAGAACCAGTCAATGTCTTTATCTTATTAATATATCATAAATAATACAACATCCTGGAGCATTGGCCCAACAAAAGGATCCTGAAAAAGTACAAAAGTAAGTTTTTGTCTTGCAGGTTTCTTGATGTTGTGCAAAGTGCTGCACTGCAGAAAAGTCAGTCACTAACTTTGAAAAGACAGCAAACTAGACTCTGTGTTGTCCATTTTTGTTGTGTAGTGATGCAAAATACATTTCTAAACATTTATATTTGAACAACAGAAGGAACTGATTTCATTTGGAAAGAGTCAAAAAGTCCACCCTAGTTAGTAAACCCTAACCTTAACCTATATAAGATTGGTTGGTTGAGAAGCAGCCACAGTAAAGCAACAATAAATGGCAATGATAAAACATTTGCAAATGCATTCGTGAAAAGTCACAAACAAACATGATCTAGGAGAAAGAAAGTTCTATTTAAGGCTAGACTGATGTCTTGGGTCTATAATGGGGACAGCACCAGGTGGCATATAGTTATGACATTGGTTACAGACGAGTAGTCAAACAAGAACCTAATTAAAATCAGCCATCAAAGCAAATCACTGCCAGGGTGCTGTTGTCTATAAATAGGTGTCACTGACCATAACCCACTGAAAACAGACAACACCTGTTAATAAACCGATTGTGTACACAAAGATCAGAGTTTGCAATATTTCGAAGAGACAGAAATAAACTTGACATCAGTGAGATGAGTTAGGAGATCGTCTTTGCTTTGGGAGAACAAAACTGTGTTTTACGTGATATTCTTTGAATGCATCAGCAAAGGCTACCTGATGAGAGATATTTAACTATTTCACCTGCAGTGGAATCAGAACACTTCACTAACAAGCCATATGGAACTGCTATTGTGTGAGTTTTCTTTTGTTTTTTGTTGTTAAGCTGAGCTTTTGAGTACTGAATTAAAAGTCTGGCAAAACCATCTATATTCTATTTCACTGGCATAGGAAATGGCTTCCAAGAATGCTTGTGATATAAAAGGCATCACAATTAAATACGAAGTAAAGTGGCTGTAATGATAATTCATTATTACATTTTGGGCAGATATTGCAGACTGTAGACTTGTGGCCAGGGCACATCTGTTACCAGGGACTGCATTTTAGAATAAACTGTTCTATCATGTGCACCAACATGTGTGCTCTGAGAAAAGCAAACAATCACATTCATTTCCTGATTTTGCAAATTAACCTATTACAAGAGTTTACCAGCAAACGTCTGCCCTAACTTAACTTCCATCACAAAATATAAATACATTAAAGGTTCAATGTGTAAGAATGTGAAGTAATTCATATGTATTAACCACCTTTTTGAAGCCAATGTGTAAATAGCAAAACTTAAAAAACTGCCCCAACTGTCTTGGTTGCATACAACAGCCTGTGGACTGATTTCTATGAAAATCCAAAGGATGGGATGTTCATCTTTACTCAAGAGTGCCTCCCTGCCTCTCCTCCACGTCCCTAAAGTGCCAACAGTGTGCAGCACCATCAACTTGAAATGCAGTCGACTAATAACAAGCAACACGGACTCCAACACGAGCACACACATAAAAAGCATATTGATCAAGTCTTCTTTTGCAGAAGGTGCAAAAAAGGAAAAGGACAAACTAACTCAGCCAGGGTTCAGATTCCAGCTCTCTAAACTGTAATCTCTGTGAGCTTGTGTTTTGATAAATTTGACTTTATTTGCTCTTTACTACATAAGTAAGCGATTATGTATGCAGTAAGTCTAAAGCTTGAAGTGAAATGAAAACAGTTTGTTTACCCAAGGGATAGTGACAGTGTTCTAGATTAAACCAATTAAACATGCAATTCAGCTGTGCAATACTTCACGTGTTTATTCTTAAATACAGATTAAAAGGTTTAAACATGTTGGTTTTAATAGCCAACAGCCAAAGAGGCATCGTGTTCCTCTAATAGAATGATATCTGATTATCCCCATGAATACGACCATGTGGGGTGTTTATAATTCCATTTAATTATGAAGTTCAATGATAATAAACTGGGTCACCGCATCACAAAATAAACAAGACGTTTCCCTTTAAACAATGCATCTGTTCACATAATAGATGCTTCTCATGGCTGTGAGAGGTGTTGACACAGGTGTACCGAACATTTCATTAATAACGGCTGCGTTTCCCTGTCAGTAGGCGTTTCCGTGCCAGAGCTTTGGGATGTTGACCTATATTTCTAGAACCAGCACAGATTTGTTGGTTATATCTAATGTATTTTCAGCTGGGACAAGTCAAAAGAAATGGGCATTCTCTGCAGGTACTGGTTATACGTTTGTAACACACCTGTTCTCCAAAACTTTAACTCTTTTACAGATACAACCAATATTGTCTTTCTAGTCCCTTTTTTTTGGTTTGTTTTTGGGGAAGTTTGGAACAAGACAGCAGTGGTAAAGAATATGAGCTGCATTTAGTGCCATCTTCATCGTTCTAGCCCTTTGGTTATTCACCCATCCTCCTTACTTTTGTTGCTTTGACACGTGTTGGCTGCTATGTGATACCATTTGGCCACGTAGTTGTCAACAGCGTAAACAGTTCACTATATGGAGCTTAACACCAAGAGCATATGTTTAACTGAGCTTATTCTACTGAAGCACCAATGGAACAATGCATGCTTGCAGTTTTTACATAAGTCTAACGTATGGTCATTTAAATTTGAAGAGTTCATTTGCAAAAACAGGTAAGTCCATCTTCACAAACCTTCAGAAAACCAACTTTTCCATCGTCTACCTGAGACAAATTTAAGTTATCTCTATTTTTGTCATTTCTACTGAGTCAAATCCACTCAAATTCAGTTTGATTGATATTATCTCAAGCAAACAACAACAAAAAAAGTAGTTGTCTGAATATCTACAAAAATGGAGTTAACCTTTTTTGCAAATGAACTCTTCCTTTTTTCCTCACAATCTGACCGACATCCAAGCACAGCAAGTTAACTGTACTTTCAACTATTAGCAAACTTTCCCTACAGCACATCAGTCAAGCCTTGCAGCTCTGGTAGGCTAGTATGCTACTTTCACTTTTAGGGTTTTTAAACTAAAAAAAAACAGCTCTTGAGTTAACATGAAGTTGATTGCACATTGCTCGCACATTTGTACTGTGTAGCAGCCAACCCTAAAGGCAGATACTATATGATGCAACAACTGATAAACAGCCCCACAGTTTAATCTGATCAAAACAAGATACACCTCCAACACGTTCTGAATCTTAGCACTGTAATTACAGCAGTATTACAACAGTGACAGCCCTATTTATATACTGATTAATTGCCCATTTGTTTAAAACTAAATGGGAGCAATGTCTCCACCAGGCTGCTTCAGTCTGTATGTACAGAGTGATCTTTGAACCAGATACCTTAAGACATTCTGTATGTATGACTGTGTTCTTTCAGTTTTGGTTTTCCCAATTTCATGCTATGATCATTTCCAGTAAGCTGCAAAAAAACTGAAATAACCTGAAAGACAAGTACTGAGAGAGAGACAAAGAGGGAGGAAAAGGGCAAGCGAGAGAGAAGCGGAGAGAGAGAGAGAGAGAACGTGCCTCGACGTAGATAAGGGAGAAGGAAGGGGAAAAGAAGAATCGGTAAAGAGAATGCAAGTGGGCGGAACGTATAGCGAGCAGCAAAACAGGAACAAAGTCATAACACATGCCAAAGTACACCTGCACACCTGAGTACAGCCACTCCTTTCCCAGAACACATGAGAGATGGTTGAGGAGCAGACGCAGGGAAATGCCCTGAAACCTCATACAACTTTAAGGGTTTGCGGCTCTTTCCTCATCGATTCAGGTCTGCTTTGGGAGTACTTCTGAGATAAAGGAGTTTACGTATTTTTATTTTTACTGCTTTGTTTTTCAGCCGTTCAGTCCAGAGTTTTTTTTTTTTTTTTTTACTTTTTGTGACCCACATACCTGATGAAGATGTGGTCAGTGAACGTTATGATCCTCCTGCTGTTCTGCTATGGTGAGTACAAAGCAGCTAATCTCCCATTTGATTTATATACGTTGACTAAAGGGCAGTCAACCATTGAATGGGTCTTCTTTTTCTTCAAAGTAGCCCTAATAGGAGAAATAAATAATAACATTAGGCCATTGAAGCCGAGTGATATATGTGACAGAGAGTCATTGCCTCTCGTCTGAAACGAAGGAGAATCCCAGAACACAGTGAGGACTTTGGTCATTCTAAGTGACAGTGATTGATGGAAAATGCTGTTTCATTTTAGAGTCTGGCTGATTTAATATTGACTATATCATTGTACGGCTTATGAAAATTCTAATTTCCAATGGACTACTCTCTGTGTAATTTCCAGCGTTTCATATCTCTAATAAACTCAATGGGCTTTAACATTACAACTGTAATGTGCTGCGGAGCGGTAAACCTGAAGCTCTTTGTGTACGGCTTGACATCTTAAAACTGCAGCCTATGTACATATTTTTTAAGCTATAAAACACAGCGAACCATTCTGCTCGTCCCTTTTTCCCCCCCGAGTCCCAGCTTCCTTGTATCAAAGTGGTGTCGTGCTATTTAAGGAGCAAAGTGCAGTCTTCAGTTTCCACCATAAGCAGAAACAAAGTCCATCTTAAATCAAAAGGACTGACTAACTCTGTATTTTACCATCGTTTCACAATGACTGGAAATTCAGGCTGTGATATGAACAGAAGCAGGATGTAACTTAACTAAAACTAAACATTGACTACAGCTCATGAGAAACCACAGAATGGTGTCCACACATAGTTTGCAATAAGCATCAAAAATCCTGAGTTTTTTGGGGATTTGAGAATTTGACACATATTACAAGAAGGTGAATGAGAATGTTGTGTTATTATCTGACACAAAAAATGATTCACAGACTTTTCCTGTTTTCCTGCAGCTTGTCTTGCAACTGACAAGATCGAAGTGCGTTTTGTCTCGAGGAACTTTCACAACGTGCTGCACTGGGATGCTTTTCCTGGGCAAAAGGTGCTCTACAGCGTCGAGTACAAGAGGTAAGACCGGGATGACAGATGAATGATTATTAGAATGGGTGCATTTCTGTTGCCCTTCTGCCTCTACAGATCCATATAGAGAGGTGGGTCAAAGTAGGGGGGGAAAAAAATGTGTTTGCAGGGTAAACACTTGGTTAGTTCATACATGGCTCTGTACAGGGCACTATAAAACCAACATTTTGTAATAAGACTTGGTCATAAATTAGCAGCACAGCCCAGGTCACCAGATGGTCTATGGGTGTTTATAGAAGGACTATACCGTCGTGTAGGGTATGGCACACTGAATTTAACCCTACATATGGCTAATATTTACAAAAGCTTTCCGTCACTGGATTACTGTGCCATGTCTGACTCTTACTTGCCTATTGTACTGTTTCCTTGCCATCACTAAATCCTATGAAAAGACCAAAAGCAATGCAACATTAGTCCCACAAGTACTAGCTTCATCTTCAGCACTGCAGACCTCCATTGTCGATTAAACTTTGATCTGAATGAACCTCACTGTTGGACCAGATAACGTTCCTTCAAGAACGTCACCATTGATGTTGAGCCGTTTCCACATACACCGGGCTGCTGCCACAAATACTCAATAGCACGACAAATCTGGAACTGAAAATACCCAGTTACTGTATAAGTGAAGTTTGATCAAATCTAGCCGACTGCTGAAAATAGTTCTTTTTTTTTTAAAAAAAAGCATATATTTTCAGGGCTTGTGGGTAAGAGTCACAGACAGTCTGGGGAACACAGGAATAGAATGATGAATTTTGTTCGTTTTGGTCGTTTAATGAGATTTGTTCACACAAAAACACAGAAAATTGCTATTCTTATCCCTTAAGATCTAGAAATTGCATTTCCCGGCAAAGTAAAGAGGTCTCCTTCTGGCTTTCCCTTGCTGCCTCTCTCTTCCCCTCCTCTCCTCTCGATGTGACTGGAAAAGACTAGTGTCTCAGGAAACGTACTGCCCAACATGTAGCATGCAGCAATTAAAGTGGACCATGCAGTCGTTTGGATTTAGCTCGTCTGGAACACTAAATAATATCTATAGGGCCCGTTCCCTCTGATTAGAAGCCTATGTGCAGAGCACTCTGCTCTCCTCACTAAAAGGAAATGCGACAGTCATGGTGCGCTTTCATGGCTTTCAAGTAGAATTATTTTCTCTTCATTTTACTCAATCTCTACAAATGGGCCTCAACAAAGTGGAAATGTCATTTCGGCGAATTACTCATGACGTAGTGTCCCAGACAAATGTCAAGTGCTATCCCTATCCGATTGACTTTTTTCCCAGCCGCTGTCACCTGCTGAAGAGACTTCCAGCATCAAATTAGCTGCAGAGAAAAGCTAGTTTAGTTAAGCTATGCCTGCGTAATATCGATTCCTTGTTCAAAGAAAACGCCGTCATTTGTCTCCCACAAAACGGCTGTGAAGTGCGTTGAAAAGATGATGGGTGATTTTGTGTGGTCAGGATGATCTTTGGGGGGTTCATTCAATGTCTGCAGCACGGAAAAAGTTCAGAACCTAATTGTGTGAATACTTGTTTTTTAGACTTTCATACAGAACATGTCTTTGATTAAGCTGCAACATTATCCAATGACTTTTGTGATGATCCATTCATTAGTTAGTTGTAGCCGAAATGAAAACTATTTACATTTGCAAGTAAGTGATTTACACGGCAGAATAACAGTAACAGTAAATAATAATAATGATGACAGTGATAGTTATATAATGGAAGTTAAACTCGTAGCACATTTTGGTTAAGACGGTGTATAACCTAGTTTCATACATTGCCATTTGTTTCCATGATTGCTGATTGCCTGATTGCATTTCATACTCATTGCAGTGATGCCGAAGGGAAGGATTTCAAGAAAAAAGCGCAGTGTCAGAACATTCCTGATCGGTCCTGTGATCTCACTGACGAAACCCCATCGCTCCACGATGTACACTACTGGGCTCGAGTGTGTGTTAACGGCAGCATCTGTGGCTGCACCTGGAGGTTTAAACCTTTAGCAGAGAGTAAGAATCATAATACTCCCTCTTTGTGTCCTCAAAGCCGCATGTATTCTGTTGCAACACATATACATTCATATTTCTTGTCTCCACAGCTGCTCTTGGAGCACCCATCTTGTTTACATACACAACAGCGTCATCCCTGTATGTGAACGTCACCCTGCCTTTGGGGCCACATGGAGTCTCCATTGAAGACACCATCACCAAAAGCAAAAATGGGTCCTCCAAAGCTATTGCTCTTTACACTTTAAAAATCACCCGTCCAGAGTGGGCTGCACAGGTGAGTCTGAATTTAAATAATTAAACATATTGCACACTTGCGATGTGTCAGAAAAACGTAGTATGTTATACAGATTAAAAACAAATATAGGTATTGCTTCCATATTAGTTTGCTGGTCTTAATGCAGGGAGCAACAGAGAAAAACAGAAATGTTTTCTGATGAAGAAATGTATCAGGTATCGTTCATATGACCCACTCTGTCTCTAGGTCATTCATAGCAGAAGTAAGCAGTTCATTATCGACTTGAAGAACAAAGAAACAGAATACTGCGGCAATGTGACGTACAGGTTAACGTCTCACTGGGGTCGCCCAGAGAGTGAAAGTCAGCCGTTCTGCACTACACTGCAAGGTGAGCAAAACAATGACTGCAACATACAAACATGTGGGAATGACTAATTTTTTCATACTTATGTGTGAATTGTCGTATACTTTAGCAACAACAGGCTCGTTGGAATAGACAGAGTTAAAACCTTTCTGTACTTTTCTATGAATTTGGCAGAGTATCAGATGTGTTATAATATTTACCAAAGTTTGATTTCACTTGAGGTAACACTCGACTTACTGGGAAGTTTTCAAGGACCCACCTGCTGTGGGGAAAAACAGAAGAATTAAGATACTTGAAAATGTTGCATTTTCTATGTTTTACTTTAATCAGGTTGCGCTCGTCTCCTCAAGTGATTGCAGCCACTTTGCAGTAGTTGGTAATAAATTAGGAAAGTTTGTTAGAAATCATGCATTTTTAGTTGCCTGTTTTCTCACTGTTACTTTGTAACCAGTCGAGTCCAGTAGTTAAAACTAGGCGCATGCTGGTTTTCCAATGAAGTACAAACAATGAGGTTTACCACAAAAACCCAGTTGTTCATACAGTGAATTCCACTCTTACCTGATAGTAAATGATACGAAGAGCCTCTTTGCCTAGAATGTTCTCCTAAGTGCTCGAGCAGTGACCTCTCCCTCTCACATTGCTGTTAAACTGATGAGACAAGAGATTAGATAGCACAGTCTGTTGCAAAGATTACATCCTTCTCACCTTAACTGGCTTTATTGTGTATTTTCTACTTTCACATCTGACAGTCAAAAATGTTGAAAATATATTTCTATATCGCACAAGTAGGTTAAATAATCCAACTTTTAAAGCGCACTCAAAACCACCGCTATCCATTTCCTAAAGGGGGAATCCACTTCTATATGTCCCTGTGTACATTTCAGTTTAGATAAGACCCTGTTTACCGACTTACAACTACTTCTGGGAAGTATGGAAAGACACTGGTCCATTCAGGTGCATGTAAATGTAACAGCCCTACAACCTACAGCGCTACTGAGAGAACATGCCCTAACTTGTGTAATATTGGTATAGTTTGTTTTTTTTTAAATGTGTTGTGTTTTTTTACCTGGACATACCTTTGACACCAATTGTCTCTTCCTTCAGATGATTCTCAGCTTTTGCAATGGGTTCTCATGAGTGCTGCTGTTCTGGCAGCCGTAATCATCATATCCGTCGTGTGTATGTGCAACTACGTGAAGGGTGGAAAGCCAAAGAGCATGCCACAAGCATTGGTAAGACCGTAGTTCGTTCATTGTGCTTTGGTGTGTCTGTGTTGCAACCAGGAAATGTTGTGTTACTGGAAAATCAAGCCCTCTGGCAAGTTAATTACTGCACGTGTTCAGTTTGTTAATGTCAGGTAGTAACCTAAAAGTAATTACCGACGCTAACACATTACTGATGTTGTTTTTGTAAAATGAAAGAAAGATCCCAGAGTGTCTTGGCTGTTCATCAACTGATCGTTGGCTTTGCTTTTTGTGTTAACGTGTTCTAACTACAGATTTTAAAATTTGCTTTTATTAGTTTGTGTAGTTTCCACACTTAAAACCGTGCCCTTGATTGACATTAATGACTGTCTTCTTTATCTTTTAAATAGGTCACCACTTCTGGGACCTGTAAAGTGCTGGAGTTTCCAGATAGGAATCGCATCATCTCCGAAATCAACCTCTGCACTCAAACCAACCAGACAATTTACGCTAAAATCCAGGTGCAGCCAAGCGCGCCCTCACCTGGGTTCGAGGATTATTTTCCCCATGACATCCCTTTCCACCCGTGGCCAGTCAGCAGTGGCTCCTCTGTGGGAACAGGAGCAGGCAGGATCGCTGCAAATCCTGAAGACACAAGCGCCCAGTCATCTGATATCTACAGTGCAGTGGCTGTCCATGTCCCAGCTGAGGAGAATGACAGTTTTCAGCAGGCAACCACTGAAGACAGAGGAAACAGTCCCACAAGTTTGTGTCCCAGTGACGAAAGCTGGAGTAAAGAAGGAATGCATTCAAAGCCGATCTCACGTGGAGAGTCACCATTATCTGATTTTGACATTTGTGAGAGCAGTCCAATAAGTCAGCTGCTACTCAACACAGTGCGAGATCACAACGGACAACTCATGTTGCCTTTGCTCACTTTTTCGTCACAGAGCAGCGCTGATGACACAAAGTCACCAGTGAACCCGGAGAGAAAACTCCTTTTATCAGACCTCATAGACTCCACGGATGGGCCATCGTTAGCATCCTTGCAGTGCTTCGACAGCTCCGAGTGGTCAGACTCTGGGTGTGATGACAGCACTGTAAACACACCCACCCACCCGTACTGCAACAGCCATTACTTCCCGTCTCAAACAGTTGTTTCTGATTTTCACCAGGGATGTCAGAGCACGCCATGTAGTGACGCCATACTTGAATCAGGTTACAAACAAAACTGGATGCCTGCAATCCCTTGTGGACCTACAGCCACAGAGCATTGTGATTACAAAAGGACGAGCTATGTTCAGAACTGGACTGGTGAAGGGGAGGACAGTGAAGGCAAAGATGGAGTGGAGATATCAAGACAGCTTCTCCTGGGAAGCTGGAAGATACAAATTCAAGAATAATTCTTGATTAACTTTCAGGCTTTACAGACTTTTCACCTGTACTGAAAATACGATAGAGATGATTCATCAAAGTACCCTTTTTTGTTTGTTTTCTCAACAACAAAGTGGGGAAAGGGACTGACAGGTTCTCTAAGTAATAATGCAGAACTCAGGCAAATTAACTGCTTTGCTATCTCCTGTGTTGTTGATGACACAGAGACAGACTGACAGTCATTTTGAGTGGAAATAGTCAACGTTTATCCAGAACTAAGTCACATTTAACAACCACCTCTGAACCACATTTCATTCCTGGATATTATACATATGCTTTGCTGTATATTTGATTTATTTATCGATGCACAATTGTAAACTATTCAAAAATATGGATCGCCTCAAGTGGTGGGCTTACATTTAAGGATTGTATATATATCATTTGTAAAGTCCTTGTTTATTTTTTCAAGTCACTGTTTAGCAGAATAGCCACATTTTTAGCAACAGATTGTGTATTTTACAAGATGGTGAATTGTTAAAAGCTGAATCCAAAGTTCACTTCATTCATACATGATATAACCTTGTTGTGTCATGTGTTAACAGTGTGGATAACTGGTTGCCCTTTGTTAAGTAAATACTTAAGTCATTACATCAACAGTGTATATATTTTTTTATGTATATGACTAACTGTATATATATGACCAACTTTCCAGTGTTTTTATTTTTACCAAGACCTGCACAGCCTAAATAACCCCAAAAGCTGTCACCACACATCATCATAATCATCGTATTTGTGTGTCATCACTATGACAGCATATTGCTTATTACACTCCCTAAATACACAATCCAGTCTGGTCACTTCCACATTACAATGTGGACACTCAGCCTTAAAGATTAGATATGAAAATATAATTGAATTGTGGCGAAAAAACAGAACAGACCAAGTCTGACACCTATTGTCATATTTTGAGTGATTTGAAATGGGAGCATGATGACTAAATAGATATGAATATAGCCCTGTTTCTATGTTCATCAACACATTATAGTATTATCAGTGATGTATAATAGTCACAGAATGATTCCATCCGTACATGAAAAAAGGAGTGTTTATTTTTTCTTCGACCTTACAAAGTTCATAAACCCACTTTGTTCTCACTGTTTGCTGTTCTTTCAGAGAAAGAAAATACAGCATGTTATATATATTAGAAGGTGGGGCTGTGTTGTAACCTTAGCCACGCTGATAACAGCTATGCTTTTATTAGCCTGAGTGCCATTTTTATATACAGCTGTAAAGTAATAATGTCAGATACGTTTTACGAATGTGATGTGAGTCACTTAGGGACACTTTGTACATCAAAATACAGATACAGGTGTATATCTGCCGTATGAATGTTATGAAAAGTAGCAAATTTTCTTTATTTCATATATACAGCTTGTGCATTTCTACTAAATGTATAATTTGAAGTGTTCATGTTGGAAAATGAGCTGCATTCTGAGCTGATATTAAACCATAAAAATGGCACATCATTGTCTTCTTCAGGGACATTTCTCAAAGTCAGTTTTAAGTTGCATGAGTGACACTCATCATTATATGACCAACAATAAGATTCCTGATCACATGGACACTTTGTGTCCCGGTGAGGTGAATAAAATGTGATAGAGTAATAAACCTGCACCTGTGCAACACTGACAGTACTTTCCACAAGCTGTATTCATTTACTCTGTCAGATAATAAAGAGGTGAGGTGGATTGCACAAAGAATCCAAAGTACAAGTTGACAACCTGTTGCTGAGAAGTGAAGGTTTACAGTCAAGAAACAGTTTGTTGTTGTGGCTCTGCCTGTCTGAACACACTGTACAAATCTGGTGAACCGAATCAATTGGTAGGTCAAATATTTAATGTTGCAATGTACAGTTGGCATCGATGTGGGGATAGATATTTAACAACAGACGGAACAAGGAGAGTACAGTGTCCTTGTGATGGTTAGAAAGAACCACATAAACCATTTTTTATGTAAACGATCCCTTCAGATTATGTTCAATTTTGAATGTGGTTTGAAATGACATACCACAAAACAACAACAAAAAAACCCAAAGCAGCTTTCGGATCCTGGTAGGGTGGGGGGTGTGACTATAATTTAAAATTGAGGCCCTTTATTTTCTTTCCCTTTCTTTTCTGAGCAACTACAAGAGGAAGTGATCCTCGCATTAACTGTCCAAAAGGAAGAAGGAAAAGGTGTAGCTGTCTGCATCCATGGGATATTTTTCCAGGGATTACATAAGACTCAAGTGGATCTCAGGTTTAATACCCATTGTAAGTTTGGTTATTCACTTATTACCTGATACCCTAATGAGATATTTCACACCGATATCAAGCCTGACCTATAAACAGGCAAGAAAACAAGCGGTCGATACAGTTTGCTTTAAAAGGTAACTAGTTAACATAACAGAATTTTTGAGATCTGTCGGTCACTGAATTCAATGTAATTCACACTTTTACATTGTCTATAAGTCAAAGATATAATTTTGATGTTGCAGGTGCAACAGGGACAAAATCAGAAAACGCACAGTAGTCAACATGACAAAAAGAGTTTCATACACTTTCATAAACTCTAAAGACTGAGTACAAACAGGCTCCACTTTGCAGGATAGCGGCTAAATGCTTAAAACCCCCTCCATGGAAAAATGTCAACACAATACAATCAATACATCCTGAAATCAACACAGAACATTATGAACACGTCAAAGCTCAGATTTATGGCCAGGTTGCTCCATAGAAACTATTTTCCAAGGCCACTGCACATGATAACAGATGAGCACAATGCCATGAAAGCTACATGAGCACAAAGAAGTAATAATATCTGACTTTTAACAAAGATAATCAGCTGCTATGTCGAAGAGAATGGCAGTCCTGCAGGGTTTTGATTGCAGTGCATCCTTTATAAAACCAGCAGCTAGCTTGCCTGTCATTTTTGTAAAAATTGTTATCGCATTGTTGGAGGTTGTTGAAGTTTGCTAATAATCTATGTTGCTCTGCGCAAAATTTTGTATGTTTCATTTCATTCTTGGTAATTCTGTGGCCCCTTTTATTTCCATCAAAACTCAAGCATCTCAGTAAACACGATACTTCTCTGCAGCTATTTGGGATAAAATTAGAGGTGCTGTCCTCAACATGTGAGTGGGCTCTGTGCCCTGTGCCTGAAGTGACAATAGGTCTGATACACAAGCACAGGGAAAAGTAGGTATTGTAGGGGATAATTTTACATGAATGGAGCACTGGAGCTGGGAAAGCACCAGCAAAAGTCACACAGACAACAATTATTTGAAAATGTGACGTGGCTGTTATAAGCTAAGAAACAAAGGAATTGGGTAAAAAAAAACTACTTTCAAGAGAATAACGCAGGATGTTGCAAAGAGAGCTGATCAAAAGAGGAGTTTAAGTTGTGGCGATTCGCTCACCCCAATGTAAAGTAAAGTGTGCATAGAGTGAGGAATTTCTTGTCTGTAGAGCGTTTGGGAAGGAGAAACATTGCACAGGCCATGTAGTCGGGCTTTTCATCATGCTCTTTTCCGCTATCTTCCCATTTGGCTCTTCTTTAGACAGATGTACAAAAAAAAACAGTCATTGGTTTGCGAGCAGCCCTGAGAGGTTCTATTCTTTCTTTCTGCCAAAAGGCTGTCTTTCTCCTCTTTCAACACTACAAGCCCCAGGAAGATCGAACGGGAGATTGCACAGCAAACCCTTGAGTGCTACAGCCATGATAGACCTTTGAATGGTGAATAGTCAAACCAAATGCTTCTGCACAAGTACAATTTCAGTCACTGCTGAGGGTGTCTGCCTGCCCTGGATCAATGAATATATTGATTGACTGAGAGTCTGGGCCACTTAAGCCATTTCTACCACTGACAGCACATGGGAGGCTACCAGGTTTGACCCTTGCATGGCGAAATTCTTTCAGTAGCTCCCAGAAACGTTAAAGGTTGGATGGATCTCCAGAAACACAAACTTTGACTGTCCTTCTTCTCTTCAAATTAAACATGCTGTAAAAAAAAAAAAAAAAAAGGATAAAAGGTACATTTGTAGCGATGCTAAATATAAGTTTAATGGCTCCTCTGAGGTTTAAATGCCCAACAAATTTCTCAGAAGATTGTTTTGAGGTACACATTAATCAGCCGCAACATTAAAACCACATGCCTAATATTGTGTAAGCTCCCCCTTGTGCTGCTAAAAGCATCGGACATCTGTCAGACAGTAGGACGCTGGCAGTGGATCCTTTCGGTCCTGTTGGTTGCAGGGTGGGGCGTTAATGGTTTGAGCTTGTTCTGGTGCATTCTGTGGATCAGATTTAGGAAGTTTGGTATCTGGGTCAGTGCCTTGGGGTCTTTGTGTTCCTGAGCAGTTTTGGTAGGCCACATTGGTCTGCAGGAGGGAGGCAACTGCCGTTGGGGAGTACCATTACCATTGGGGTGTGTGCTTGGTCTGCAACAATGGTGGTATGGGCAGGCTTGAATGGCAGGACTCGAGGTTTTCCAGCAGAACATTGCACTATACGGACATGGTCAATGTTATTCACGTCACTTGTTAGTAGCTTCAGTGTTGTGACTGTACGATGTATACAGTAGATGAGCTCATTTGTGGTATTCAATCAATATTTAAGGCCAAGTTCCATTGTAGTAAAGGAAAAACAACACTCTTTTGAAGATATTATGCCAAAAGAAGTTCGAGGAGGTTGACAGATCTTAGCAATGATACGTTCAGGTGTCTTAAGTATAAAACAGTCAGTTCGCCCTATCTCAGCGGCAGCTATCTGCTTTTCATAACACATCTATGCTGAGAAGGTTAACTGGGTCTCCTGAGATCTCTAAATCTGACATCTCTCATTGATACAGCACTATGATGTTCCTTTATGAGCGCTTCTCATTAACACGCATTCCTCAACGCAGCATGGCTTGGATGAGTTGCAGACACATTAAGCGATGCCATGAGCATGAATAGGAAGAATTAGTTCATTCGGGTACGGCTGAGGGAATACAGAGAAAATTAGAAAGTTTAACTAAAATGAGGCTCAGCTTTAATGTCAGGTAGCTTTATTACCTTTTTTGTCACTGTACATTATAAATAGCTTGCTGATCCGCTTTAATTGCCAGTTTATGTAACACTGTGTTCACGTCAGCCAATACTACCCTAAGAAGCCGGTTATTCTGTTTTGTTTTGGCCCATCGGGAGTAAGCTATGTACTCATCTTAGCCAATGTTGTTTTCTATTGATACTGAAGATAGGGCTGCAAAGTACAGCTTACTTTTCACATTGAATAAAGAAAAAAAATGTCCATTTAAGAGTGATTTCTGCACTGACGACAGCTTCTGCAGCTGGGTCAATCTCTGCCACTTTTCAGTCGCTTTTTATGTTGTTATTCCAGCCAAGTCAATTTTATTTGCCGTGCCCAAAGTCACCA